TTAGTTATTTGTTATTGGTATGAATTTTAGTTATTTCTTATTGTTATCAGTTTTAGTTATTTGTTATTGGTATGAATATTAGGTATTTGTTATTGTTATCAGTTTTAGTTATTTGTTATTGTTATCAGTTTTAGTTATTTGTTATTGGTATGCCAGTATTAGTTATTAGTTATGGTATCAGTATTAAGTATGTGTCTAATGTTCTTTGTTGTATTTTGCAGTGGTATCTACATTGGACATGGTGGATATAAAAGACTTGAAGTGTTGAAACCTTGTGTTTCAACTGAAACTTCTGACCTGATTGAGGGCCTATTATCTAATTATATTGGTTCTTTTTACAGCTTTATTTTATGGTTGGACAAAGCTTGAAAGTTGCAGAGGAATAAGCAATATTCTTAAGCAAGACAAGGTAAAATGTAACAGAAAGTATTGAATTAATCAAAAATTCAGAGTTAGAAAATAACTTAAATAATGCATCACTAGTATTGTTTGATGATTTAAAATGTTCCTGAAAAAAGTAAAACTGTGCTAATTGACTTGATTCATCTTTCGATAATAAAGAAAATAATGCTTGATATTGTGTAGCTTTTCTTGGCAATGGCCAATGTGTTAGCTCTACTGGTCAGAGACTAGAAGAGCTAATGCATAAGAAGGTGTCCCTTGTCTGTCTGTACATCTGTAAATAATTTTTCAAAAAGCTACCTCTCTTTCAGTTTTAATTAAAAAAGACAACAGGACATGGTGGAAACAACTGGAATATGCATGCCTGATGGACAATGAATCTCCAAGATGTAGGAACAGTAGCTGCACCCATCAGGACTTGGTGAAAACAACTGGAGGAGCAAGTCTGATGGATGTTGATCTTCCAAAATGTGGACACAGCAGCTGCAGCCAACAGGACTTGGATGAAACAAATGCAGGAGGCAAGCCTGATAGGCAATGATCTTCCAAGATGAGGAAACTGCAACTGCAGCCAACAGAACTTGGTGGAAACAACTGGAATACAAAAGCCTGATTGACAATGATCTTCCAAGAATCATGTGGAAACAGCAACTGCAGCCAACAGGGCTTAGTGGAAACAAATGGAGAAGACAAGTCTGATGGATATTAACCCCACCCCTTTCAAGACATTTTACAGTAGATAACTGACACTGCCTAATCAGGTATGTGACATAATCATGATCAATGATCATCTTATTGATAAAAAATACCAACTTACAATGGCTTCAATTTAGAATAATTAAATCAACACAGCTACAAATAAAGTGTTATATAAAATTGGTTTGAATGATACTCATTTGTGTAATAATTTTAAGAGCCATTTTGTTTCCAAGCTTCACAGTCTATTAAAATTTACATATATCATACACTGATATCAGATACACATCATGTATAGAAATCACAGAAATCTGATGAAATTTCATCAGAATTGAGGAATTTCCTAATTTTTCATTTTCTTGTAGCTTCCATTAATACACTTTAAATCAATACAAAACAAGCATCACTTACAGTTATTAATTTTAACTGCATTTCGATTTTTATATCAAACAAGGGCCATACCTTTGTCCTTTATGTTTCTCCCACCATCTTTTCATAGAAAAATTTTCCCCATCAAGCTCAGTCCATATCACTGCACTTAATCAGAGATCCCCTTCTTCAAGATAGTAGATCTTTTATGCAGAATGATAAATTTTTTTTCCTTAAGTTGATTTTTTTGTTAAAGTGTAAGTATTCATAACCCCTTTTTGCCCCTTCCAGGATAAGAGATTGAGAAAGGCACTTGAAGAACTATCTGGCAGATCAAAACTGGAGCCCTGTAAGCATGGAAGATATTTCCTACAGGCTAATGGATATTGACTCTGAAAAAGTGCAGATGCTGACAACAGGACATGGTGGAAACAACTGTAGGAGGCAAAGCTGATGGTTGTTAATCTTCCGTATTGTGGAAACAGCAGCCCCATCCAAAAGGACTTGGTGGAAACAACTGCAGGAGGCAAGGCTGATGAATGTTGAGGCAAACCTGATGAACAATGATCTTCCAAGATGTGGAAACACCAGCTGCTCTCAACAGGCCTCAAGACCATAAACTGAGAATAGACTTCAGTCAAAATTTCAAACCAAAATAACTTTTGAATGATTTTGATTATGAGACAAAAATGCCACCATATGTTTGAATTCAAATGCTATACAAAACTGGTAATGTTTTAGCAAATACATTAGATATGAAACTCAAGATATTGAAAATAAAAATTCTGACTCCGTCTCAGTTTATGGTCTTGGGGCGAGGACTTGGTGGAAACAACTGGAGGAGGCAAGGCTGATGGATGTTGATCTTCCAAGATGTGGAAACAGCAGCTGCAGCCAACAGGACTTGGTGGAAACAAATGGAGGAGACAAACCTGATGGATGTTAACCCCCCCCCCCCCCCTTTCAAGACTTTTCACAGTAGATAACTGACACTGATCAGGTATGTAACATAATCATGATCCAAGATTTTCTTATTGATAAATAGATCCAAATTATATGGCCTATAATTCAGAATAAATTAACATATCTTAGCTAAAAATAAAGTGTTATATAATGGGTTTGAAATTTCCAGTGTTTGACATAATATCGTAGTGTCTGTACAGATGTTTAGTGATAAACTTATTTTTTCTTTGTTTTTCACTAAAAAAAATAGTGTAAGTACTGAATTATCAACCAATGACATATTGTGGCAGGTGGCTTAATTTTGCTATTATGCATGCACCAGAATTTCATTCAAATTAGCTTTGCTTGGCGTTCATATGAAGCTAATGCGAAATAATTTTATGGCAGTTAATTAATTCGAATTAAACTAATTCTCATGAAATTCTCTGTGTGAATGCGATTCAGATTTAATTCACTGTAACTTGCATTTAAATCGAATCTGTGTGAACAGGACATAAATTGTGTAGCTTCTCAGACATGTGAGGAAACAATTTTTCATATTATTTCATGGGATTCCCACATTGGGAATGCCAGAAGGTTCAGGAACTGTGAAGCTCAGAATATATAGTTTCCAAGAGATAGTTGTACATGTACTTTCAAGCCCAATATTCAAAAAGGACTTAAGTATTGTTAAAAATATTTAATCTTTTATATACAGAACTAAATGTGGTAATGAGGTTTTGACATTATAAGGATTGCTTGGATACATTAAAACATACTATATGCAATGAAATGTAGTACAACAAAAAGTAATCAAATACACATGTGTAAATGAGTTTAAAAATAAATGGAAAGATTGGCTTTTACTTGTGTAAGACTCTGAAACCAAGCAGTCAAAGACATCTTGCAATTCTTGGACATACTCTTACCAGTACTGTACTTTAAATGTGTTTTTGACAATTGACATCAATGAAAAAAATCTTTTAAACAAGGTCAAGTTAACTAGCAGACTGAATTTTTAGCCGGTACGTTGCATAGCTTGAAGTCATTCAGCAGTAGCCTAAGCTTTTGTAATGGTGTACATTCAACCAGACATTCTGACTCTTCACACCCAAATTAAAATTTATGCTAAGAAACACGGTGCATATACTCTACATACTATTGAGACAGTTAACTCAAACACTTTAACAAACACAAAGTAAAGAGAAGTGAAGATTTTTTTAAAACAAATATTGAACATTAATGTTAATGCATTTTCTCCCATGTTCTTCTTTTGACTTAATAAGATTGCTTAAAATATGTGTTTTTCAATGAGCCTTCCAAGGCCTGTCTGTGTCACATTCTATAAATACAGGCTGTGCTATCATGTTAACACTATGTGACCTGATGCACACCTTGCTTGCAGAATTCCCTGCTCAGAGGCTTCAGTGCACAAATATTTGACTTTAATGCTTCATCAATGAGTGTTTACTGTTGAAAGTGATATAAGATGAAAGTGATACAAGACCCCAGAATGATACATCTGATATAAGTTGTTTAAGCTGTGAAATTCTAATCAAATTTCAGTTCATGTTTGACATTTTTTTCATTATAGTCTGTACGTCATGTTGTATACTAAAATCTGATTGGTTTTAAGACACATTTAACAATTTGTAATATTATACTGTCATGTAAATTAGTTGAATCTGATTTGTCGAGAAACATTTGTGAAAAAACACTATTACCCGCTGAATGATGAAGCCACGCCCTCCAGCGTAGCAACAGTTAACATTGCTTGACGACGGGTGATATTCCAAAACATAGTGACTGCCCAGAATTTATGCACACACAGTTCACTATTATATGTATTTGTATAAAACATTCAGTATGATATGATAAATATTGCATGTAGTTGAGTGTAACATTGAAAATTTTCACCCCTTGAAAACCACTGTCGACCGAGGTGCAGCCAATTTTGGTTTTCTTGGGGTGAAAATTTTCAATGTTACACTCAACTACATGCAACATTTATATAATGTTACCCTCAGCATTAGCAACACTTGACAACAATTAACAATAATGTCACATGCATGTAAATTATGCATGTATGGTAGAATTCTCAAGATGTCACCTGTGCATTTGAAAGAAGCCAAATAAACTTGACATCAATCATAAAGCTTGCGTCCATTCCCGTTATAGCTTGATTTAAAACAACAAACAACAGACCATAAAAGCATGCTTGCAAGCTAGTGCAGAAATAACAAACTTGTGATGATAAAGGGACTCTGTTATAAGTATCAAACAAACAAAGAGATAGGCTAATCTTCAAAGCTTAAATTTCTTATTGAGAAAAACAGAAGCAGGGAGTTTGAAAACTTTCTGAACTTAACAACGATCTTCAATTTTGCTGACATCCTATATCAATTAGACAATCAGTATAAAAAATAAACTGCACAATTTTTGAGAGTATAGTTTAAATTGACACCCCTGTGAAAAGCACTTTCAACCTTCGCTGACAATGGTTTTCCTTGGGGTGTCAATAGTTTTTCTCATTTTTCTGTTTTGTTCTAGTGGATACTATATAGCGTGTGTTTCCTCTTCTTTAAAGTTTGAAGATTTGGAGACCATTCAAAGTACTGGGAATTAAGCAGATCTTGTGGGCTTGCTGTGATTTGCTTGATGACATTATCAAGAATGTGGACCATTCAGGTATGGCAAAGTTACCTTGATTACTATTTTTGTAATTTTTAGGTCACCTAAGTGACTCAGGTGACCTATTGCTATTTGTCTGTCCTCATCAGTCGTGTTAACATTTTAACGTTTTCACTTCTTCTCTAGAAGGGCTAAACCTATTTTAACCAATTTTGGCACAGAATATCCAGCTATGATTGAAGGGGAATAAAAATATGAATTTCATGGCCCCTGCCACTCTGGGCCTTAGGGGCTTAGGGGTGAGGCTAAATTAAACCATCAAAATTAGTGTTATCTTTAAAAAGGTTCTTTACTCCTGGACATCAAGCAGTCAAACTGTTGGCATAATTATGATGAGCACGGGTGCCTCTTCCAAAATTGTGAAATTTGTGGTCTTGGGGTCAGGGATTCTGCAGGAGGGAGGCTCTATTGATTATAGGTAAAATGCATTATTATTTAAAAAACTTTTCTGCTCCTAGATATTTGGCAAATAAATAAAGTGCATGGTTATGATGATCAAGAGTGCCTCTTAAAAAATTGTGAAATTTGTGGCCCCTGAGAGTTAGTTCAATTTTATAAGAAGGGGGGGGGGGTGGCTGAAGGGCTATTTTCAATACATAGTGAAGCTGCATTATTTCTTTGAAAGTCTTCTCTGCCCCTAGGTATTTTGCAGATAAACTAAGTGCATAGGTATGAAGAGCAAGGGTGCTGGTTTAAGAATTCTGAACTTGTGGCCTCTGCATGGTTCAGGGGTTTTGGTGTTGGAGCAGAGCTCTATTCATAATTAAGATAGTGAAAATGCATTAGTTCTTTCAAAATCTTCTCTGCCCGTGGGTAAAGAGCAACATACTAAGTGCATAGTTATGATGAGCAAGGTGCCTCTTGCGAATTTCTTTGCCCTATGGTCAGAAACTATGGTGTTAGGGTGGGGCTTTGTAATGGATCTATGGTGAAATTGCATTATTTTTTTTTGAAATTCTTCTCTGCCCCTGTGCATTTAGAAGCAAACAGAATATATAAAGTTGTAATGAAGAAGGGAATTTTTACCAGATTTGAACCGAGACCTCAAACACAAAAACATATCAGCCAACAACACTAGACTAGCAGACTAGTAACAAAGCAGGTGTCTATTGAGTATATATAGCACCAAGATAGAGTCTTAATAGGATAACTGAGGTACATGTATATAATCAATTTTTAATATGAAGACCAAGTTAAACCAAAGATTTTAATATAACTGTATGCTATATAACATCAAAAGAACATAACCCCTTTAAGATGTCTCTGGTTTAAGTTGGATCAAATACGTAAATCTCTTTTTTTTTTATAATGCTCACTTGATAGTTCTCCATATATCGTATGCAAATTCTGTAAATTTCATTGATTTTGAGATGATTATGACTATTTTTTGCCATTTAATGGTATAATTTGTATTTGTTTATAGCTAGATTTACTAAATACAGTTGAACCTTGTTATATCGAACTCAATGGGACTGAGAAAAAACTTTGAGATATCTGGGAATTTGAGATATCAGGGCCAAAACACTTAAATAATAAGTGGTTGGTACTTCCAAATTACTTTGACATAATTATGGTCTTCGAGATATCAATCGTCAAAATATCAAAGTTCCACTGTATCATAAAATATTGAAATATTTTGGATGGTTGTAAATGTGCTGTATTGTAGGCCATGCCATTTACTAAGTGTGCTTTACCTCTTTGTACTAGTATTCTACTGACAGAAGTTATTGCTCTTTTCTGTTCATCTATGATAATTAATCACCTTAAATATTGTAATTGAAAGGTCAATTGAATAACAGAATTCTACAAGAATTTTTATAATATTTAATACGAAAAGTACTTTCATAGTTTTTAGTGGTCAGGAGGACTTGTAAACAATACATAAATAAAAATTGGACAAAAAATATTTGTACATTAAATGTTCTTCAAAGACTAAATGAGGTTAATGTTGAGAGGGAATGAGATTTGTTTACTATCAGTGTTCAAGAAATAGTGTTTTATTTAATCTGCATGGGGATAGTGTCAAATGGGGGAAAGTGCAGTCAGATAAATAGATCAACTTGTAAGGTATGTTACTCAGAGCACTAAATTATTTTGCTGATTCCTGATTATTTTTTTTCTCCTGATTTTGGGCAACATAGCTTCATTTTTTAGCTTTTGTTGTTTTATTTTATATTCAGTCTATGGATCCTTTACAGAGTTACATTATACTCATGCTTGTGCCTCTTGCTTTTTTTATAACCTGACAATTACTTCTTGCTTCATTCATTTACAGAAAATAAGAGGGAGCCCCAAATTTAAGGGAGCACATTCTTGAGATAATGTATGGAAAAGCAGGACAAGCTTAAATATCCAAACCTTCAAAGCACTGATATAAATGCATTCTAGCAACATCAAAAACCATTTTAAAAAACATTTTTGTAAAGGTTGTCCAATTACACAAATGGGTATGGGGTCGCCCAATTCGGACACATGGGTTAAATCTCTTTGGGTATTTCGACTTCCTCCCACACTGACCCCCCTTTTCTCTTTCTTTTAGGCAAATGAGATAATCATAATCCATCTGGCAGGTTGAAGAGGAGACTTCCAAGAATGGTGTTCATAAAGTTATTTTGGACAATGTGAAAAAAGCATTTGAAGCCTAACAGGAATTGGTAGAAACAACTGGTTGAAAATGCAATGTTGATGGATTTTGACCCTCCAAGATGTGGAAATAAGCAGCCATAGTCAGATATGAATTGGTGGAAAAACCTGGAAAAGGCAAGACTGATGGATGTTGACCCTCCAAGATGTGGAAATAGCAGTTATAGCCAGACATGAATCGGTGAAAAAACCTGGAAAAGGCAAGGTTGATGGTTGTTGACCCTCTAAGATGTTGAAATGAGCAGCTACATTGGTGGAAAAACCTGGAAAAGACAAGACTGATGGATGATGACCTCCCCAAAAGCAAGACTAATCACTGTGGAGAACTGTCACTGATCAGGTACGTGACATATATAATCATTATGATCCAACATCTTTTTTTGAAAAAGTACAGCAAAAGAATATCTCTTAGAGCTATATAATATTTAACTTAGATATGTCTGTTCTTTTATTAATTTCTGTTTATACGAGGGTTGTTAGAAAAGTTCGCGGACAAGTTCTATTGTGAGTGCGCTTTTTCCATGAAACCGGTTAAACTCTCCAGATAAAAACTTTACCTATTTTCCAATAAATATACAAAGATTTGATGTTTTCTGGTAATCCTTAAAAAATATACAGCTATATTATTTTGGTAAAACATGCTTCACGGAGCATGCTACTTTTTCGCACGTTAACAGTACATAGACTTTTTATTGAAATAAAAAATTGCACAGTTATAGTGCAGAAAGAATTATGATATTTTACCTGTCGCTACAGTATTCATGAAAGGTCACTTGCCGAAATTATTGAATTAAATTGGAGGGTGTATGACTGTTTTATAGCCATTTATAAATAATCAACGTGTAAAAACAAAACCAATAATGGGAATGTCATGGAACGTCATGGAGCACCGAACTACTAAAAATAATGTGTGCAGACAGGAAAATGTCTAAAATAAACTAAAATGCTTCTAGAAGCTGCTGGAAATTGCCTACATGTACAAAGGACAAAAGTATTCAAAATGTAGTAGCTTTATAAGAATGGAATGATTAACATTTTTAATAATCAACTCCATCGATACCTCATTACCCCACTTACCGCAAGGACATTGCGCCTATGGATTTTGCATTGTTTCCATACCTGATCTCTTAACTGCGTAGACTATTATTTTAAATTTTCACTAATTTCCGAAACAGCACAAAAGACATTATAGATGAAAAGTAACATGTCTTGATATAGTTATTTAACTTCTAAGTAGAAAAAAGACAAGAAAAGTCCAAAGAAATGAAAGATATTTGGAACTTTGAAAAAGCTTAACGGTTTTGAAATCTGATTGTCACGTACGTCACTTAACGTCAAGTGATTGCTCCGTGATTCCTATGACTGCATAGTAAAAATTGTAAATTTTCAAATTTTTTAGTAAATGGACCTGATTGTTTTACATACTAATAAACAAAAGATAGGAATTTAATCAGACATAAGTCATACTTCACAGTAAACAATAGATTTTCCCTAAATCAATGTGTCTGCGAACTTTTTTAACAACCCTCGTACTTGCATAGATGCTGAAGTATTAACTTTTATTTTATAGTGTGCTTTATGAGTTGGTGACAGTACCCAGGAGACTTAGATGAAGTCGTGTTGGTGTGCTTGACATTTTAAATTACAAGGAGCCCTCAGGTATTTGAATAATTTACTCAGTTATGCCATTCTATAAAACTCTGTTCTTCATTTTACTTCATTGGTCCTTATGGTCAATTACCTTTTTTTTATCATTCATTGACAGAAAATAAAAGTACTGAAGAGGCATATCCTTGTGATCGCATGTGGAGAAAGACAAAGATGACCATGCAGAAAGCCAGATCTGTGAAGTACACACAAGCACATCCAGTTTAAAATGTTATAATTTCTTTTAATCCAAAACAAATTCTGTTTAAAACATTTGTTTTGGAAATGGGTGTCTGAGTCATAGGAGGGTATGGGGTCGCCCACTCAGACACGTGGGTTTTCTCCGGGTGCTCCGGCTTCCTCCCACACTGACCCCATTCTTTTTCTCTGTGCCAGTGTAAAAATCTTGTGTTATCTATTGTTTTGCTCTAATGTTATTTTATTTTGTTTATAATATTTTATATTATAAAATGTTTAGATGAAGTAGTTGAAAGCTAGTTGTTTAGTAGGCCTTGTCGATACCCTGGGGCATTACTGGTTGGAACTTCGTGGATCCTTGGCCGCTACGGTTGCCAGGCTGGCCTGGGGAGGAGAGGTTGAAAACGCAACTAGTTGTAGGCTGCTTTGTCTTTAATAATCTGTTTTTATTTTATCTAAAATCAAAAAATCATACATGTTGCAGATGTAATGATTGTTAAATATTAAATTAGTATTCCTGGAATGTAATTCTGTCAGCTACTGTACCAGTAATAATTTGTATAGTTGATTCTGATTATTAGCTTAATATTGTGAAATTGAATGCCTTATATACTGATGTGACTAAATATGCAGTAAAAGTAATTGATGAGAAATTTGATGTGAAATTATGATTTGTAACATGAATTGTGATTTGTTAATCTTAAATTGTGATTTGTTAATTTAAATTGTGATTTGTTTATGTAAAATAGTGAATTGTGAATGTCTGATTTAATTGGCAAGTTTTGTGCAAAAAAAAAAGCCAAAAGAAAACAAGAAAAGACAAAAAAAGAAAGAAACAACACAAAAAAGGGGAAAAAAAAAAACAAAAACAAAAAACAAAAAAAAAGAAAGAAAAACAAAAAAAAAAAGAACAAAAAAAGAAAGAAAGAAAAACAAACAAAAAAAAAAAGATTTGAAAAAAATATATATTAAAAAAAAAGAAGAGCAGAACAAAAAAGCACAGAACTTTTAATGCTGCCTGCTTGAATAAACATATTTGTATGTTTTTTCAAGCAGAAGGTTCCAAGCCCTTAAAAGCAGAGGAAAAGTTTTGGTATTATATTGTATATTGACATTACTGAATGTATGCCAAAGAGGATGGACAGACAAATTGACAAGAGAAATGCCTATAGTACAACAAACATGAAGGTTAAAAAATTAAATCTCAATTATAGCAAAATTTCCTTTGATACTTCATCTAACATTAAAGTATACTTTATGTTAAATCTCCACAATTTGCAAAAATCTTACAAAGATTGAAATTATTGCTTATAAAATAGCAAACACACAATAAGGAGGGCAAAAGGTTTTATTATCTCATACTATTACACAATTTTTCAATATGAGTGGGTCTTTGCTTCATTTTTTTGAAAGTTTATCCTCAAAGTTTATGTTAAAATATACAGTTGAACTTCGGTATCTCCAACACCAAAATATTTCAAATATCATGGATATATCGAACTGATTTGGAAGTCCCAATCACTTATTTTACCCTCGATATCTCGAATCATTGGATATCTCAAAGTTTTTCTTCGGTCCCATCAAGTTCAAGATAACAAGATTTGACCGTACATTTCATGGTGAACAAAAACATGGAGCAAAGACCCACTACCTCTTAAAAATACACTATTATGACACAACATTTGTATCTTTTTCGAGAAATACTTGGAGTCCATTTAGGGTCATATCACAAACATGATTTAAATGCATTCGTGTAGCATAGTGGTTAGTGTGTTAGTCTCAAAGGAAATTGATACTTATCATTTTTAGCTCACCTCGACGAAGTCGAGATGAGCTTATGCTATACCCCCGGCGTTGGCGTCGGCGTCCCGGTTAAAGTTTTAGGAGCAAGTCCCATTCCCAAGTTACTATAAGCCCTACCTGGACCAAACTTGCATGGATGATGCATCTAGAATGGACACTGCCACACTTGCTTCGGATGCTGGATCTGACCTAGATTTTCCAGATGAGTGACCAGGTTAAAGTTTTTGGAGCAGGTCCATTCCCAAGGAACTATACGCCCCACCTGAACCAAACTTGTATGGATGATGCATCTAGGGATGGACACTACCACACTTGCTTCGGATGCTGGATCTAACCTAGATTTTCCAGATGAGTGACCAGGTTAAAGTTTTTGGAGCAGATCCATTCCCAAGTAACTATAAGCCCTACCTGGACCAAACTTGCATGGATGATGCATCTAGGGATGGACACTACCACACTTGCTTCGGATGCTGGATCTTACCTAGATTTTCCAGATGAGTGACCAGGTTAAAGTTTGTGGAGCAGATCCATTCCCAAGTAACTATACGCCCTACCTGGACCAAACTTGTATGGATGATGCATCTAGGGATGGACACTACCACACTTGCTTCGGATGCTGAATCTAATCTAGATTTTCCAGATGAGTGATAAGGTTAAAGTTTTTGGAGCAGGTCCATTCCCAAGTAACTATAGGCCCTACCTGAACCAAATTTGCATGGATGATGCATCTAGGGATGGACACTACCACACTTGCTTCGGATGCTGAATCTGACCTAGATTTTCCAGATGAGTGACCAGGTTAAAGTTTTTGGAGCAGATCCATTCCCAAGTAACTATACGCCCTACCTGAACCAAACTTGCATGGATGATGCATATAGGGATGGACACTACCACACTTGCTTCAGATGCTGGATCTGACCTAGATTTTTCCAGATGAGTGACCAGGTTAAAGTTTTTGGAGCAGGTCCATTCCCAAGTAACTATAACCCCTACCTGGACCAAACTTGCATGGATGATGCATCTAGGGATGGACACTACCACACTTGCTTCAGATGCTGAATCTAACCTAGATTTTCCAGATGAGTGACCAGGTTAAAGTTTTTGGAGCAGGTCCATTCCCAAGTAACTATACGCCCTACCTGAACCAAACTTGCATGGATGATGCATCTAGGGATGGACACTACCACACTTGCTTCGGATGCTGAATCTGACCTAGATTTTCCAGATGAGTGACCAGGTTAAAGTTTTTGGAGCAGATCCTTTCCCAAGTAACTATAAGCCCTACCTGAACCAAACTTGCATGGATGATGCATCTAGGGATGGACACTACCACACTTGCTTCGGATGCTGGATCTGACCTAGAATTTCCAGATGAGTTACCAGGTTAAAGTTTTTGGAGCAGGTCCATTCCCAAGTAACTATACGCCCTACCTGGACCAAACTTGCATGGATGATGCATCTAGGGATGAACACTACACACTTGCTTCGGATGCTGAATCTGACCTAGATTTTCCAGATGAGTGACCAGGTTAAAGTTTTTGGAGCAGGTCCATTCCCAAGTAACTATACGCCCTACCTGGACCAAACTTGCATGGATGATGCATCTAGGGATGAACACTACACACTTGCTTCGGATGCTGAATCTGACCTAGATTTTCCAGATGAGTGACAAGGTTAAAGTTTTTTGAGCAGGTCTATTTCCAAGTAATTATAAGTCCTTCTTAAACCAAACTTGTATAGATATTGATCTTGGGATGTGCACTAACTAGAAAAAATATGATGTGAGATTTGCCTTACTTATAGATAACCTTCGTCGAGGTGAGCTTCGTAATCTTTGATTACCTATGTTTATTGCTAAGGTTAAAACCCCATGAATACCACACTTTTTAAATTAATAACAGAATAATTTTGCTGAGAAAATTTTCATCAGAAAAATTTTGTTTATCACATAAATTCATAAATTACAATAATGTTAACATAACTCTAAAGACTAAATTAAAAAATTGAATATAATTCTTGTATATCAGAATCAATAGGCATTCTGCACTCCATCAATTGTTCACTCATCTTCTTAATGTTGACACAACTGATCATGATATTTTTTAATCATTGGAAAATATCAATTATTTTGATGTGTACAATGTATCAATTTAAATCTCTTAAAAAATGCTAGTAAAGGCATCTTCAGTTCTGATTTTTTAATGCAGTATTTTGTTGAAATGAGGTGCAAAATCAAACTTTATTGCTCTCTTCAAATGGATTAACATCAACAGTTGAATAAATGCATGCACAAATTTAAAAAAAAAAAAGGGTCACAATGCTCATCCTAGTTAAATTGATCCTGCTGTTCTCAAGAAAGAGATTTTTAGCTCACCTGAGCTGAAAGCTCAAGTGAGCTTTTCTGATCACATTTTGTCTGTAGTCCGTCTGTCTGTCTGTCTGTCCATCTGTCCGTCTGTAAACTTTTCACATTTTCGACTTCTTCTCCAGAACCACTGGGCCAATTTCAACCAAACTTGCCACAAAGCATCCTTGGGTAAAAGGGGTTCAAGTTTGTTCAAATGAAGGGCCACGCCCTCTTCCAAGGGGAGATAATTAAGAATTGGTGAAAATTTGGTGTCATCTTTTAAAAATCTTCTTCTCAAGAACCATTGAGCCAGAAAAGTTTATACTTATGTGAAGTCTTCATTACATAGTGTAGATTCAAATTTGTTCAAATTATGACCCCCGGGGGTAGGGTGGGGCCACAATGGGGGATCAAATTTTTACATATATAGGGAAAATCTTTAAAAATCTTCTTCTCAAGAACAACATAGCCACAATTAGTCATATTGATATGGAATCATCCTCAGGTAGTGTAGATTAAAATTTGTTCAGATCATGACCCCCGGGGGTAGGGTGGGGCTACAATGGGGGATCAAAATTTTACATGGGAATATATAGGGAAAACCTTTAAAAATCTTCTTCTCAAGAACAACAAAGCCACAATTAGTCATATTGTTATTGAATCA